CAATTCCACTCATTTTAGTCCCCAAATAGTATAGTGCATTAATTAAAATAGAACTAAATTGTATTTATTACTAATGAAAAATAGCACATGCTTATGTTTTGCAAACTAATATATATTGCAATGTAAATTTTCATATTCTAAATTCTTAAATAACGAAAGAAACATCACTTTTAAGATTAAGAATGATAGATGTCTAATCTTTTATGGTGAAACCAAATCTTGTGTGTGAGATCGATAGCAATAACAAAAAAGGATCCCAATGTGTATCTAAGTATTAAAGTCCGTTTCTGACTTCAATACGTCTAGTCATCTTCCGCGAATTCAGTCTTAGAAGTCACAATAAGAAAAATCTAATATTACTTTGCAATTTAAGTCTTATGATAATTACTTACTGACACAAGATTAATACATAATTTGGGGACATGTAATATATTTTTCAAGACAGAGGTAAGGTTAAGCTTAATGTCGTCCTTACCTGTAAAAGTATTGAGGGAACCATCTGCAGTGACAATTCTTTTACTACTTTGACATGGAATGTATATATAAAAATTTTAAAAATATTGATACTATGGTCTATGACTCCTGGTCTATAATTTAAGAGTTCTCAAAAAATTTATCTAAGACATTTATTTCTTATGAGGTAGAAGTTATATCTGAGTGTGCCAATAAATCAATACTTGTTTGTTTCTCTAGAGACTCAAGTAGTGTCCTTAATCTTTGAATCTCCACTTTGAATTTACTAAGATTTGAAATTTTCATGTTGAAATTTACTCCAATAATTTGGCTGCGTGAGGAAACATTGATTCTGTATTGAATCAATTCACTAAGTCAACTCAGACCAGGAACTCATTGAGTCAACTCAGTAATTCCACCTTAACTCAACTTGCCTTGGATTTGGACAAAAGTTGCGACAAGGATACCAACAGCTAACACGCATGCATCTCTACTCAAAGGGTTGCAATAGAGATAAGCTTAGGATGGTGCCTATGGCGAGTATGGCGACTTGGAACTATGACAATGAAGGGAGAAGCAGCAACTTCTAGCGCCGACTACAAAGGCCAGCTAGTGGTGGAGCTGGTTAGTCCTATGGTGCCTGGCGATAGGAGGTGGCGGCCAGTTATGAAGGCAGACCTCTTTTAGGTTTTTTTTTATTCGATAATGGAGGCTGAATAGAATTTGTAAAATAATTTCAGAATTTCTTAACCTAAAAGCTCTAATATCATGTTAAAAATAATTTTTTGATTTATACGTATTTTATTGAATATTAAAACCTACTATATACAAGTTTCCAGAACAAAAAGAAAATAAACAATTAATTACAATGGTGTAATTTACCTTTATACCCTAATTTACTTTTTTTTTAACATTATGATTTACTTTCTTTCTAATATTTTGATTTATTTTCTCTTTAACATCTTGATTTACTTTCTTTTTAATTCTCTAATTTACTTTCTCTTTA